TGAAGTGAACTGTAAAAACTAGGCTTAAATGGGATTTAGAAAATGATTTTTTCAGATAAAAACTTTTGAATACTGAGGGAAACATTTCTTAACATAAATGCACCTTACCAGATCTATATTCCCCTGCAGTGTGAGCTGTGTGTTGAGGAGTTTGTTAGAAGTGCAGACTCCATGCTGAGTGCTCCTGGCTCTGCCCTATCACCACTGAAAGTGTAATTACGATGGTTGACGTTTGTCCAGGAAGGACTACAGGGTTGGGGGTAGGGAGGGTCTTTGCTCGCCTCACGATCCCGTGTTTTATAGAAACACACACCAGAGGGCGCCATTTGCCCCTAAATTTAAGAAACCTCCGCCCATTTCTGGCAGTGTGTTGTCAATTCCAGAATAACTGACCAGGAAAATTCTATTTAAACCATTAAGGGAGCTGCTGGTAAATCCATCCATCACACACAAACACACAAATGTCTATGTTTGCTGCAACACTACACTTTGGAAATGCTTTGTTAGCCCTGGAAAACCCACAAGTAATGCAATTTAGATGACTATGCCATGCATTAGTCACCTGAAAACCCACCACAGATTGTTCTTGGAGACAAAAAAAGAAAGTATGTTGCACAAACTAAATAATCCACATGCACTCAGTTTTTAAGAGAAATGTCAATTCAACCTCATAAGAACAAAAACATGTATATGTGTTTTGCATTGGGCACACTTTTTTTCTTTCTTTTTTTTTAATAGCAGTCTTATGTAAAGTCAGCTTTTTTGAGCTTTACATTATATTATGTTATTTCCTCGTTATACGTACCAGGAGTGTTGGTTTGATTCTTTCATTCATGTTTGATGAAAGAATGACTCCCTTGACAGTCGTTCTGCTTACAGAACGGCTTGATCTCACCAGTTGCTGCCTTTTCCGCAGCAACCAGTGTTGCTTCCGCCGTACAGAGCACGCTCCCCACGCTACTACCCCCACTCAAGTCCTGCAGGCAAGCGACAGCGTCAAACACGTGGCGTTCACATTCCAGTCCGGCAGGTGGCGGAAAAGAGGAAGAAGATGCAAACACCTGGTGATTGCGCACCTGCCGAGCTCGCGTCAACTACTTCTCGGTGAAATTAAACGCGATGACGTTCTGAAGGCAGCGTCTTCTTAAGAGTCAGAGGATCCATTTCAAATTTCTTTTCAGTCGATATGCAGCAATTGTATAACAAGTGAAGGTAACGCAAAGTTGATTGTGCTACACAATTGCACTATGTGCCTGGAATATGCTACATTATTCTTCCCCTTTAATATTTACTATTTGAACTCAAGTTAGATAAATGCTATAATTGGTGGGATATATTAGTTGAATACTGTTAGTTTGTTGTATTTTTGCTAAAAAAAAAGTATCCATGAAATAATCAAAGAAGTTACTTGAGTAAAAAAAGTATTTGGTAAGCCTACTCAAGTGTTAACTTTCCATTACACATTTGACAGTGAAAAATATAAAGTTAATGTGAAAATTGACTAAACGTCAAAAATATGTTACAAACAACAAGATTGCAAACAACAAATTAAGAGTATATTGTTTAAATGATTAATTCAGATACTATTAGCACAGATTTGTGTTTTCATGCTGATTTAGTTTGACTTTTTTTTCTTTTTTTTTTTTTACATATTTTACTCTAATAACATCATTGTTTTGTTCTTGTTCAGTTAATTTGATTTCGGGGAGAAAGCATCAAATGTGAAAGAGCTTTGTTGAAATGTCAAGCTAATGCTCTAATCAAGGTACATATTTTAATTTAGGAGATGCTTATATATATATATATATATATATATATATATATATATATATATATATATATATATATATATATATATATATACATATATATATATATATAAATACTGGAACATTTTGACGTACATTTTGTATAAATCTAAATTGCTTTATTGAAAGTCCTTTATTCTTTTACATAAGATATGTTGGAGTTATATTTGAATAGCTCCTGCTACATTTGTGGTATACACAAAGACTGAATCTCATTTTCTGGGAGAACACTACCTCTCCCATTATCCCATTGCATGCATGTAGCTTTAGGTTCATTTTAAATGCAATGGACACTGAGACGGAACATAAAGAGAGGTGCTGTTAAGAGTTGAAATAAGAATAGAGGAGAGGGAGAAGGACAGAGAGAATACAAGAAAACATAATTAGAATCTGCTTTTACAAAAGACAGAAAAAATAGCGAACTGAAAAACCATAGTGACAAAGAGCATATATAATTACAACAATGTCGCTAAAAAGCACCCACTATGATTAATACAGTGATTAAAATATTCTACAAAGTAATGTGACATTCCTATAAAGCTGGTGCATTATTAGTTGTCATTGACTCTCACAAGCCTAACAGACCAGATTTCTGTTAGGCTTGTGTGACATAAAGTGCTATATAAAGTATTTGCCTATATTTTAATTTCATCTATTTTGGTGTTTCGTTTCAGTTTATCAAACTAAGACTAAGGGAAAAAAAAGAAAAGATAAGATACGATGACTTAATGCAAAAAGCTGGAACGAGCTCATGATTTATTAGAAAATTAACCTGATGAGAAAATGTCTGAAACCAAATCCAAATCCAGTTTTTTCATAGTCGGCCCCATGCCATATTTGTCAGATTCCCTTAAATCAATGACATGAGATTGCTTCTAGCATGAATAGTCTGCTTTAGGTAAAGCCAGCTACATTTTGGTGCTCACTCTAAATAGGCCAGTGCAAAAACTTGGGAATTGCTAAGATTTTTATTTTTATTTTGGAGCTGTTCTGAGGTGAACGAGCAGGTGTAGAAAGGATGATTGTCCTGTTTTATCAGGCTTCTGGAGATTAAGACTCCAAACTGATGATGGGGCAACATACTCTGGTAGAAAATAATTGTAAAAGCAACAATGCAGCCCCTGACCATTGCACTACCGCGACCATGAAGTTAACATTTCTTTGACGGTCTGAAGCAATTACAAACACAAAAAAGCAGAAAGAGAAGAAATCTGTAAGGGAGCAAAAGTTTTTCACTCCACCGTATCTATCTTGCATGGTTAAAGGTGAGAGGTTCGGGCCCCTGTTGGCAGCAGCCTGGGGGCTCAATAACAGCCTTTACCTTCCTCCCGGCTCGCTCTTGTTGCCTCACCACCGCCTGCGTGACTGTCCTTTCTGCCTGGCTGTGTTGTAAGGTCAGACGGAAGGTCGTCCACATGAGTCATCACTTCAGTCCGTGAGGTAAGAACCGACCATGACAACACTGGCGTATATTTTTTCGTGCATCAAGGTATGAAAGATATTTAGTGAAAGGAAAGTATTTCAGAAGTCTCACAAGGTTCAGTTGCGTTTTAAAATGCACACTTTGGATTTTCTACATCTTTCTGCTGCCTGTGTTATAGAATTAGAAAGCATCAATGAAACAATAAATCTGTTTTCTTTATGAGATAACATGTTTTTAATTACTCGTAGGTTTTCTGTTATTCAAAACCTGCTTCACACTACTTCCTTTACTTAGAGAGACAAAAGAAATGGATCTACTACCCATATCTATACTTTTATGTAGCTATCTATCTAACCAGATGCATCAGTACAGATTTATGTCAGGAACTGCACAGAGGAAGAATAAAATACGAAAAGTTGCTGTAAAAAATGTCACTAGAGCCAGTATATAAAATTTAAAATACTCAGAGCCATTGTGCTTGTCAAATCCTATAATGCCTAACTAAATTCCACTTACCACAGCACTGTAAAAATATAACAGCCTCAAAACACTGCGCCTAACGTGCTGACAGTCTTAGATCTGTCGTGTGTAACTCATTTGTTTGTTTGAAGTGAAATATGATTTACCTATTGGCCTGTGGCATCGATGCGTGTTTCATTCCCCACGGCGCTCCAAGACCAGATTTCTGTTCGGCTCGTGTGACATCTCGCAGCTTTAATGCCACTTTGTAAACACGGAACATGGCCTGCGGATTCAGAGGTATGATAAACAGCCTGTTGTCTGCTGTAACAGTGTGCATTTGTTTTGATCTTTTTTTGGAAGCAACTGACCTAGCTCTCAAAAAAGATCCAGGGAGCAGCAGACTACCCAGGCTTGTAGCTGCTCAAAAAAACGAACGCCTGCCGTATTTCTCAGGCTTATGCTCCGTTCTGGGTTTCCAGTTAGAACAGAATAAGGGCTTTTTGTGACACCGGGCCTCCCATTGGCTTGTGTATGAGGATGTCACTTAGTCTGAGAGATGCGTATGTATCTGACACAGCCGGGTGCCTCCACTCTTGCTTGATGACTGTTTTGACAGCTCAGTAATAGCCTACACTGACAGTCAAAGCCTCCCTCCACAAGTGAAGGCAATTCAACTCGTACTATTCAGGATAAAACTCCCCTTTCACAGTAATTAGATTCTTGACTAAGATGATTTTGAATCCCTGGGAACTCAGCCGAACTAGGAAAAAACAATTAATCTGGGAAGGGAAGTGTATGCCTTAATTGAAGCCTGATGGAGTGTTTTGCTTAGGAGAAGGGCATCTTTTCAAACATCAAGGGCTGCTTCATTTACATCTGGGTAATTTGTTAGAATGACTCTGGATAATTTGCAGAAGGCAGGCAGACTGAGCCATGTAGGCTTTGTGTGTAGGCTAGAAATTAGTTCTCAGTTTTTTGGCGTGATTATTGGGAAGGTATGTTGTGTAATTGTTAGCATGAAACAATTGCTAAGAGAACGGCTTTAATTATAGCCAACTAAATATGTCCGTCTTCCTCTGAACTAAATTTGAACATGCACAGCTCCTAAATGAAGACATTATATTTTATTCTATGGAAATAAATGAAATGTACCTTACCCTGCATGTTGTGTGCAGGGTTTCATACTCTAACTTTTTTTCACATTTTGTCATGTTAAATGTTATAAAGAACATTAGTGGACAAGGAGCATAAGGAAGGTTTAATATAGGGTTTATAAAGAAACATAATTGACCCATCATTTGAAAAAACAAGAGCCACAACCTCACCAAAACGGACAGTGAAGAGCTCAAGTAAATCAGAACCAGTGGAACGTTTGAAAGTGGATTTAAAGCAAAGCTTTCCATGACTGACACTGATATTTTTTGCAAAGAAAAATAGACAAATTGCAATTCTAGATCAGGACATGTGCAAATGACCTGCAGGTGAAATTGCCTACTTGTCTCTACAATGTATCACTACGGGCAGGCAGAAAACCAAAGCAAGTAATTCCTTTCCACTTTTTTGTTTTTAATTTTCCGAAACATGTATTGTTACAGTTTTCATTTCATAATACAATTATGCAGCATTTTATGTATGCGTATCACATGAAATGCAAATAAAGTACGTTAAAGTCTATGATTAGAATGTTGTCACATGTAAAAACAGTTCAAGCTGCACAAACACACTTGGATGAGATTCTTTTCTGTATCTTCTTCCTGAAATCTTATATTCCTGTTGTCTTACATAAACGCGGTCCGCTGATGATCCTTTTGACCTTTGAAATGTTCACATCGAGTCATCTGTGTTTCCGCTTTTCATCAAATCACATCAGAAACCGTAAATCCAACCTCCAGCTGTGTGCACGTAAGAGAACAGAACCAGATTAGAGGGATTTTTAAAATACAGGAATTAACAAAAGACCTGATCGTGTGTCCTCATGTTATTCTGCTAAAGCCAGATCCAGAGTCATCACATCAGTTTGTGTCTCTTTTGCACTGGCTATGAAAACCAAAAAGGCGGTCATGACGTTGCATCTAGCACGAAGCAGTATGTTGTGTAATCGTTGTTGAAGGATTTAAATGTTGCTTCCCAACCTGAAAAAAAAAATGGAAACAAGAAAGAACAATGCAGTGCTCTCCTCATCTGACAGATTTTGGCTTAATCCCAAAGAGTTTCTGAAAGTTTCATGCACTGTTTCATTATAGATGACCATTTTTGTGCTTGAGTTTCTGTTCAAGGTGCCCACTCAAAGAGTATGTTTTTCTTTGTGAGATGTGCAGAGAGAGACAGCACCTCTTAGACTTTACATGAAGGATTACATCTAATTCCCTTCAATCTTCTGCAGCCCACTCAGTGTTTGCATCAAGATTAAAATACAAACTCAATGAAATATGGCAGCATGGGTGTGGACAAATTGATTAAGGGATGTTATTTTTTATACTCTTTCATGCTCAGTCAGCCTCACTCTCTCTTCAGTCTTTTACAAGAATAACACTATTTTTTCCTTATCATGAATGCTCGTGCGCCTCCATGAAAGTATATAAAAGTCCATCCTCTACTGCTTTAATCTCTGTCGTTGTGGTGTGTAATTTTGTCATTTCAAGCATGTTGAGATCAATTACATACACAAAACCCCCCATACATACAAATAACAAGAAAAAAAAAAGCCATACAAAGTAATGCCCCCGCTGGCTGTGCGTCAGAGCTGCTTGAAGAATTTGTCACTTCAGTTCAAATTTAGTTCTCATGTTTGTTCCTCTGCACTCAAAGTGCTCGGCAGTGCATGATCAAAGAGTTGCCTTCTTTGAAGAGCAGCCCAGTCGCTGCTTGGTTTTTGTTTGTCGAGACTCCTTATTTCTCTGTTTCACCATTTGTCAGATAAGCGGAGTGCAGATGGAGATTTTTAGGCTTGTTTTCTGGCAGATTAATGCAACAGGTTTGAATGTGTTATGTATATGCATGATGGATTACTCCGGGGGAACCTCTGTTTTCTGACAGATAAGCCATGGAAGGGAAGATGATATTTAGATCTTAATTAGGTGCTAAATCCTTTATTAGGGAAATGGGAAAGTTTCAGGACAGACTGATCCATAGACCTACATGCAGCTATTTACATCTCTCAAACTTTTGTGGTTTTTTTTTGTTTGTTTGTTTTGGGGGTTTTTTGGCATTGCAATCATATACTCTGTTTTTATTTTTACATTTTATATGGGAAATCAACACTAAACAGTCCACAGATGTCAAGTGGAAGGTAATCTATAAAATGTGTTGTCAGATAAGCCCCCTTTACTCTCAGACTCCTAAATGCAATTCATTGCAAGCAGCTGTCTTTGAAAGACCCCAATTAGAAAATAAAACTAAAAATAAAAGCTACATTAAAAGTGAGTAATTGCAGTGGTTCTTTGAATGTTAGTGTATTTGGCTCTCAAGAGTCAGCTATCTGCAAGTTACATCTGCAAATTTTTCTTATCAGCTTGGCATAGTTTAAGAATGTAATTTTTGCAAACTCTTTGCAAAATAGCTCAAGCATCAGCGTTAATGATGAGCACTTGTGAATATCAAAGTTTTTCCACAGATTGTTAGTTAGCTGTGTGTGTGCCAACTGTGTATAGGCCATTGCAATACAGAAATTTGCTTGAATTTAAGCTAGTCAATTGTAGTTTTTTTTTCTACTGGAATGTGAACCTCTGACTCAGTCTGAAGTTTTTCATCCATCTTCCCAAAAATGGGATCACTTTTGAAAGTAACGCACTATTTTTTTAATGTGCTTCAGAGTAAAATGGGCTAAATACAAAAGTAATACACACTTTTTAGTTTTTAATTTGTAAAAAAAAAAATCTGTATCATTGTGATACTGCTCAAGAAATGCAAATTAAAAAACCAGGCATCTTTTCCTTTCACTTCACCTCACCTCTTAGTGTTGGCTACCATGTTTGTGGCTGTAATGTGACAAAATGTGAACAAAACTCAAGAGTGTAAATACTTTTTCCAGGTATTGTACAATAATCCATCAGAGCTGCAGCTGATGAACAAGTCAACATTTTGCTTTTCTTTTCAAACCTACACTCGTGCAGTTCACACAATCACTCAGCTTGAACATACTGAGGGAGTTTTAATTCACACTAAATACTTTATGTGAGAAGTGAGTCAGATTCAGTCTGATCCTACAAGAAATACTCCTCACACAGCTGTGGCTGAGTGCAAAAAATAAGTTATTAGCTGAATTGTAGGACTGATAAAAGCTCTACAGTGAAGGTAATAAACCATTGCTGAAACTTTTATATCGACTACCTGGTCATGAGACAAAAAATAATTGGAACAGAAAATTGATTTTTTCCCCCCCCTCTCTTGAAGATGAAAAAGAGACATTAGAGCTTGATTTTTCTTACTGCATTTACACTCAAATGACATCTCAGCTCTTCCAAACAATAAGGTTAACCAAATCTCTTTGTCTACTGACAAACTAACCAAAGAACATGGCCTATCCTCAGCTTTGAGGTATCCATTCTATCCTATCTTCACCCATTGGATGCTCCATGAAGGCCACATGCTTCAAGGTGTCAGTGTTGGGTTGTTTTCTTGTAAAATATGAGAAAATGCACGACAAGGTGCCTTGGTTGGAGTGCACTGGAGGCTGTTTGCAGAAGCTGCAGTGACATGGAGTGAGAAAAAGGTATGCGAGGATAAGAACCAAAGTCACAATGCAGCCTAGCAGTGTTGTGTAACCAGTGTGGAACCGCAGCAGCACGATCACTTTCACCTTACATGTTGCATTCAATGCCTGTTTAATGTCCACAGCGGTGCAAAGATACACACCTGAGTTGTTGGTCGTGGTTGCGTGTATCTCCAAGGTGCCATCGGGAAACATGTTAATACGTGTGTCATTCATGCTGCTTTGGGTGATGAAGCCCCTACTTGGGGAAAGCCATGTAAATGAGAGGTTTGTACTGCTAATGGATGTTTGGCAGTCCAGGTGCACCCTGTTACCCTCAAAGACCACCACATCTGGGAGATCCGTTTCAGGCTGTATGATGGGTTTTTCAGTGCAGTTCTGGAAAAACCCATTGTCACGAAAGAACCGGATGGATTTACAAGGGTCCCCATTAACATTGCAGGTGTGCTCATCTGTAAAGTCTTTGATCGAGTTGTATTTACTCAGATTCCAGTGCCTAAACATGTCGTACATGGAGCAGTTGCAGATGAATGAGTTGTTGTGAGTGTACAGCCCCTGCTGCACCAACTGTGGCAAAGCTTTCACATCCTCCCACGGAAGACTCGACATCCGGTTGGACGACAGGTCCAGCATAGCCAGAAAAGGGTGAGTGTGATCCTGGATGAAGAAAAATGGGAAGTGTGTGATCTGGTTGAAGCTGAAGTAAACTTTTTTCAAGCTGCTCAGACCGCTCAGCGAGCTGCCCTCCACTTGTGTGATCCTATTGTTGAAGAGACGGAGCTCCTCCAGCCTCCACAGCCCTTGGAAGTAGTGTTGCTCCACCATCTGAAGCCTGTTGGAGGACAAGTCCAGCAGTCTCAGGCCAGACACATTACGAAAAACGTTATGACTCAATGTACGTATTTCATTGTGGGCCATCCAGAGCTTTTCCAGTCGGGGCGTCATGGTTAAGGTGTCTGGATCCAGCCGGATGATGTGGTTGTGGCTGAAGTCAAGGTTGGTGGGAAAGGAGGGCAGGGATTGAGGAAGTTCGTGCAGACCAACAGAACTACATCTCACTGTGTCAGACATGCAGAAGCATTTAGAAGGGCAGGTTTGCTCAGAGCTGTGGAGGACGCAGAACAGCAGGAGGGAAAGAACTTGAAAGTGTTCAGAGGTCATAATTCAGGGAGTCAGATCCTTTAAATTCTTGAATTCCCTCTGGCTCCGTCTGGCTAGATGATAATCAAATGGAAAAAAAGGCAAGAATATTAGACATGGGCTATTTTATTTGCAAGCTATGACATTTTAGCAGATATACGGGAAAACTACCTCATAAGGTCTTCTACTAACTCAATTGACAAGTGAGGAAAATAGACAATTTTTCCCTAAAAAAATCACTTTGCATGAAAGAAGGATCGCCTTAAGCTATATTTTTTTATGATGGCATTTTTTTTAAGCTATCACAGACTCCGAGTATATATAAATTTATCTGTTAATGGGTACTTTATTTAGGTTTTCATTACTTGGTCATAAAAATGAAGCTCACATTTTATCCAAAGCTTCAGGGAATTTCAGTAGGATTATTTTCTTTGAAGTTAAAAATACATCTGGCCAGCTTTGATGAGAAAATTGCCCTTTTTTGTCTTTGATAAATGACTCAAATGATTAATCATCAAAACACCCCTTTATTCACTACCTTTCTCTGAATAAATCCAGATAATTTTTTATCAATACAATTAAACTACAGAAATAAACACATGTGGAACTCCTTGTTAATTTTGTAAAAAGCCTTACAAAATATCTATATGATATTGCAGTAGCATAATCCTCACCCTGAATACTTTAGGAAAAGTCTGTCTTTAGTCTGATATTAAACTATTTTTGTTTATCTCTTGTTTAGACTCTAGTCTTCCCGTAAGTCATGACTCTTTTCTGTCCAGTAGTATTCATTTCTACAGCCACTGGCTGCAGTGGTGGACAAGGAGCCATTTACGTCGCATCCCCACCTCTTCATGGTTCAGTGTTCGCCGATTTACTTATTCGCAGATTTACCTGAGCAATGTGACTCCAAATTATTCACGGAAAACGTGCCTATTCACAGATGTCTGACGAGAGCATATCTAAAATGTTTTGGGGTGGGCAAGCTGAAATACCAAGCCACATGTTACTGGCTGTTTATAAACCAGGCAATTCATATACTCTATATATTTTCCTTGGGTCTGATTTAATCTACTCCCTATGATAGAAATAAGGAAGACTGTACATATTAGTTTCTTTGGTATGCAAAAACATTATCCACTTAGTGTATCAATGCATACTAAGTATTTATGTTGGCACTTTGAATGGAAAGGGAGGCAAAAAAAAGTTTGCTTTTTGTGAACTGAACCAACAAATGTCATCTAGCATTATGAACTCAACCAGAAAACTAAGAAGTGGGGAAAATTTAAGATAAGAATAATCCAAAACATGTAACCATGTTCAGACTCTAAATCAAGTTTCTCCCATAAAATGAGACACAGAGAACAGAGATGACCCGAGACTTTGGACAGTCTAAATCCCTGCTGTTAAACTCCAGCTGTGACCTGCAGCGTTTAGATGTCTCTGTCTGCTTCTGCAAATAATTAGGTCAATATAAGTACAACTTTAGGAGTTAATTTTACCATTTTATTTGAGTTTACTAGAGCTCTGAAACATGTAAACATGTTGCAGGACATTAGACATCGCAGACTGAAATTTGATATCCAGAATTGAAGACAAATGATAAATAATTCATCTCTGTATTCTAAAATCTTGTGCAACATTATTAGGAGAACACTTAGTGGTTTTCTATTAGCAATGGGTTTTTGCTTCCCACTGACCAAATGTGCTCAAATTACAGTTTGGGTTGTTCCAATAGTATTTGAGTCAGAGATGATATGAAAAAGCTTTACATGGGTGGAAAATACATTTGTAATTATAAAGGAAGGTTTGACATTAACATATGTAAAAGAATATTGACAGGCTTGACCTTCTGCAGTCCTTTCTTCTCATTTGCAAACAAATAAACTGAAGCTTAGACAGCTTTCCCTATGCAAACAGTATGTTTGGATGCAGAGGTCAAAGGTTAAAAGTTCCAAAAGAGTGAATATTTTGACTTACTTGTTTGATTCAATTCTTCTCTCCAAAACATGAAAGAAGGTAACCAGAATCCCAAATCCCAAAATAAACCGCCTGACAGCACTAACCTCCAACTTTTGAGGTTTTTTTTTCTTTTCTCTTCTTCTCAGTCTCCTTTTTCAAACTTGTATCCCATTAATGAAGACGCACAACACAGCAGCTTAATCCTTATCTCCTTCTTGGATCCTCTGCTCAGACTCAGCGCCGCTCAGGGGATAATGTTCTTCCCTCGCTTTCTCTGCAACCAAGTTTAGGGTCTCCCTCCTGACTTTCTCTTCATCCCGAATAGGAGTGCCAGTCGACAAACATCCTGTGGTGCTTTGCAGTGTTTTACAAACAGCACCAAGCTCACTTAATCTCCCACAATCCCTCCTCTTTTCCTCTCTGTCATTTAGAGTCTTCCCCTCTCATCGTTAAGTGATGATTCCAGTGGCTGCCCTTCTCTGAGGCTCTTTTTTTTTTTTTTTTTCCTTTCTATTATATTATTTTCCATGAGATTTTTCAATGTTTTGCTTACAGTAGCGAAGTAGAGCCCAGGAGTTTTTCTCATGAATTTTAGATGAGTTATCCTGGTAACCTTTTACCGGTGCTCTCTAGGGGGCAGAAATTTAGTGCGCGACTCTCACTCTGTTGGTTTTCTCCTAAATGTCTGAGTTACTCACCTCTATAACTGCAGAGTAAACTCTAGTGCAGTTTTCCTTGTTTTTGTGGTCCTGGATGGGTAAATCCTTCCTTTCCTCTTTCCATGCACACTCAGTCATGCTCCCCAGGATTTTCTGCACCACATCCCTGTTTCTTCCCCCCCTTTCTGGGTCGCCAACATTCCTTTTTTTCCATAGCTGTGGATTTTCACTGGATCTATGCTGTCCATGCTGCTTGGTCATGGTAGGCCTGACAGCTCTGATTTCTGTCACAGCAAATTAGCTTTGCCTCCCAGCATCCACCTACTCACCGCCAGCACTAACCCTCCACCTCCCTTCTTCATGAGCGCCCGCAGCGCCAACTGACTCCCACTCACTCATTCGGAAGAAGAATGGGGATCTCCTGGATGGGGTTCACTTCTCTGGAGGTGAGCCCGGGTTATGGAGGCAAATGCAGGGAGCAAGGAAATGCTAGATACAAGCCTTCAGTCAGATTTCTGAGAGAAGAAAAAAAAAAGTCCCTTTTCAGTGTTGGATGCATTTGTGTTTAAAGCAATGCACATGCTGTGTGTAAGCAATGGCATTACACACAATCTTGTCCCCAGGCTAGTCATCAGCTTTACAGCAACATGTAAGATATTCACCCACACAAGTGCATTCGAGACATGTTAAAAAGGCTTTTTAAAAAAAAAACAGGCATTACTGGTAGATGTGTTTACGTGGGAGTATAACGTGGTTTTGACTTTTTTCAAATTAGTTTCTATTTCTTTTTACCAAACCTTTTTCTGGACATCCCTTAAAATATTTCAATTTATTTCATTGTTTGCAAGCATTACATAACGGTGGTGTTTGTTGAATAGATTGCTCCAGTAAGCTGTGAGTGTGTTTCTCTGCATGCAACTGGGTCACATAAACCCTTTAAAGCAGAATGTTTATCTGTAGAAGCTTGTAATGATTCATGCTTCTGCATATGATGCTTTTAGAACAGTTCTATAATCATGCCAGGGAAACGTCAATAATTGCATTTGTTTGCAGCTTTCAAAGGGAAACATCTTCTGTTTTCACACATCTTGAAGTGCTATTGTTGACACAATATTTCTCCACCTTATTGTTTTCAGCATTGGCTGAAAGGACGTTCTTTCTGCATTTAATTGTGTCTCATTGTCTTCAAAGATCAATCTAATCACAACTTTATGAAGAAGTATTGACGTTTTTGTGTGTTCTTTAGTCAGTTGTAGCTCTTATTTTTTGTTGATTATCTGTAGTAATCTTGCAAAGTGTGTTTGATTGGAATTCTGTTGCACTTTTGTTGGACTTTTTTAGTCGAACAAAAAAAGTTCACATAATTGTGAGGTGCAAAGATAATTTGTGATTTTCAGCTTTTTAGCCAATAACAAAGGTAAAATGTGTGCAGTGTGTTTATATTTAGCCCCTTTAAGTAAAAATCAGATGGAATAATCTCTTGATGATGTACCTGCTGAGATATTAAGACTCTAGTCGAAAGAAAGTACCATAAATACATAGTATGTATTGCATATAAATACATATATTCAAATACATATATTAAAACAAATAAACAGACACACAGTAACAGTTCATTGCACAATTATCTGCTATGGCACAGATATGTTCTGGTTTTAACAGACTAAGTGCCTAAAGCTCTAATGCTCTCTGCCGTATCCTCTATCCCTCTAATGCGTCTGTTGCCCCTCCTCTTGTTTATGAGGAGTTGAAACGTTTGACAGCTTGGGTGAGTTTTTAAGTCTTTTAGACTTTTTAGGCGCTGGAACCCCTGTGGTCGCCATGAAGCCGAAGCGGCGCTGAGCCGCGAGGGCCGTGCGATGCCACTTGCGGCTTTCATTGGTTTTGTTGCGCTGAAAATGGCCAATATTATTTCTTCATCAGCTATTATTATATCAAAAAATTTAAATTATGTCTCATTTTCCTACTTTCTCACAATTATCCACGTCTTTGTTTTGGTTTATCACAACAAATCCTAATAAAAGGTATTGAAGTCTGTGGTTGCAGAGGGACACAATGTGGAACAGTTCAAAGAGCTTAAAGGATTTTGCAAGACATTGTGTATTCTGTCTGAATAAGGTTTGCTTGGATTGTAGCATCAACAGATCCTTCCTCCTCTTTCATTCGTGGATTGCTCTGCAGATCTTTTGCAAGGCCCTGTTTGATTCTGCGTCTTCCTGCCTATGTGTGTGTTGATGGGCTCCATAGTGCAACTTGAGCCTGCTGTTCTGAAAAATCCCTAATCTAATCAGTATCTTTGCATCAAGCAGCTACGCAAATCCGGTCTTCCTCATACATTTGATTAGACTCAGTATATGCAGAACAGTCCTAGTCAGTCAGGTTCAGAGTGGACTTCCAAGCTTAAATCCTGACCTCTCTGCATCCCGCCTCCAGCAGAAAGCGATTTTCTTTTAACCATCTGCTCCAGAAGAGGGAGAGAGGTTGGGAAAAAAATATAGTCTGTAGCACAGGGAAATGCTTGCTCTTATCTTGCCCTTGAGAAACGGCAAAGCACACAGTCGTTTCTATAAACTTTTACGCTCTTAAACGCACAGAGTACTTTTGTAGAACAAAATCTTGCAGAGACTTACTATGTCATTATGTTTATTTGTTTGGAAATACTGTTTACCATTTAGAAGACAAGCTTTTCCTTTCAGCTTTTGTTTTTGTTGGCAAATGAAAAAAATATATTTGGCAAACACTATGAGATACAACACAAAATGCCAAGGAAACATATCTTTAGGAGGAAAAAAAAAGTGTAAATATATCAAAGCAATATTGTTTTATGAACTAACTTCAGAAAGGTTAGCTGAAAAATCTGTGGAAAATAAACATCTTTGGTAATTTCTGATACAATTTTTGTAAGTCTGCAGAAGCTTTGCAGCCCCTGGAGGTGTGACATCACCACAACCGCTCTCTGCCCATTGTGAACCTTTGAACCTGATCATGTGCACATTTGTTAAGCTCTTATTCCTTTCTTTCTACAGTGTTTTGTCAGCAGGGCTTGTAGCCAGACTTTAAAATATGAATGAGTCAGTGTCTGGATAAAGATTCACTCGGCTTAGTTGTTTTTCTCTTCCTTTCCTCAGTCAATTTTCAGTCTGGATGAGCTTTTGTCCTAAAAAAAGGGAGTTTCAAGCAGAATGCGATTGTTTGCTCGTCACAAATCACTGCTCAGTGGCACCACATGCTCTGCATTCATGTTGATTGCATTGCATTATCTGAGAAAATCCATCCCTCAAACCCCCAAATCCTGGATGGATTTTGGTCTGTATATGTTGCATAATATTTGTGGCACACATTGCACTCTGGACTGAAACACAATACGATTCCATCTCCAGGTTCTCCACTCAAGCCCAGCTCATTAATGTGCTGCTTAGTACAGTCAATGAGAAGAGACAACCACACCATCTAGTGGCTTAAGGCTCCATTTGAATCATTATGATTTAGTGAGCTCTTTTATTACAAATATTGAAACAATAAAATACTAGGAGTTAAGAGCAGAGCTACCAACACACTAAATTAACACGTAGCAGCAAGATTTAATAACTGCCGCTAATTTACATGACAATTCTCTGTCAAGTAAATGTTAGCAGAGTTTCAGATTTTGCCATAAAACTACATCAGCCCCTGAAACTATTAATCAATTAGTTATCTCTGTAGTTCTGTGTAATTACCAAAAGTATTGACTATTATTAAGTTGTTGATGGAAGCATGTTGCAAAGATGATTTATGACAAATTAATGTGGGAGAATTTTCGGCAGGAACATAATATGACTAGTTTTATACACTGTTCATCTGCTGCAGATTGCTTTTCTAAACCCAGTCATGCTTCTTTTGTTTTCCAGCCACATTCCACTACTTGTTTCTTGCTAGAAACAAGGTAGAAGTAATAGAGCTACTAGAAATGGAGATAAAAATCTTCATAAAAAAATCAGAGGTGGTTTAACATGTTCTCTCTGTGCTGACAAATTTATTTATGATAAAATTGTAAAATCTTATGCTCTATAGTGTTACATTTCATTACCAAATATCTTTAGATATCAAACAAATACACCACTGTGACGATGTTAATACTTGCTGTTGCTGTCAGGTATTTTACATGATAATAATCTTAGTATTATAATCTTAGCAGTTGTTAAATTTTTATTGGAAGTGCTACAACATTCAGTATGTACAAACTCATCTTGCTTGTAGAGCCAAGCTATCTGTCTCTGCTCTCCAGCCAGAAATAATAAAATAATGATTGAAATCTCAGACAGGAGTAAAATCTGATGTAGATGTTCAGATGTTTGTTTTCTGGCTTTTACATGACCCACGAGCCACAAGCATAACTCTTGATTAGAATCCGAGCTCATGTTTTCACTTTTATCAGCTCATCTATAGCGGCATGCAGAGCTGAGGGCTCGGGCTAGGGACTGCCCCACATCTCTTTAGCCTCTATTATCTCTGTTGATTGTTAACGGATTTCAATTAGGATTCACAGGAGTTAATATGATTGCTTGCTGTTTATCCTTTCTTGCTTCCTTCCATGGAAGCCAATTATGCATTAGCGGCAGTAGATGAGCGCTGGACGCTGCTAATGGCCCTGCCTCTGCCTTTGTGTTCACATTACTGAAGGATATGGCTTGTGAAATGAGATCGCTACTGACTACTGTGCTATCAGTGCTCATGCCATAAAAC